CTGCACAGAGGGCTTCTAGCATTGGCTCTTCCAGAGCAGCCCTTCCGAAATGCTACGTGTGTGGGTTAGTAGTAAACCTTTCTCTGCAGTCAAGCCTTTCTCCCGCTAATCATGTTCTCTGTGTGATTTAAAATATTTCCTTCACGCACGACAGAAAGAGCTCCACCCTGAGCTATTTTTATTTGTTCGTTTAATTGTCTCACGTGCTTCTCCTTAAAACCATACAATCCTTGCTATAAATAATACCTTCCACTAAAAATATATTCAAAATGGTATCACCGACTGCAGCTTAAAGTACTAAGCATAGAAATACACCATGTGGATTTAGACCAAAATATTAAGAGGTGTCTGGCTGTAAATCAGTTCTATAATATGGCTTTCTGGCCTCTTCAATCAGAAAGAAGCTGAGGCCAGGTCATCACATGGAGCAGTTTGTCAGAAACGTTCAGTCCCTCTGATAAGTTCATTTGTCTACACTGTATGAACTTGGCTGTTCCTGGTTCACATGATGAAGCTTGGGGTCTATCCCACTGGGAAGTGGGCAGAGGGAACAGAGACTCCCACCAAGGGCAGAAGTTGTTCTCACTTCTTATGATAGCATGAATCTCAGGAGAGGCTGACCCTCGTGCAGAAGAAATCCACATACAAGGTGAGAGGTGTGGATGGAGAGATGGGAGGCCGAGTTCCTGCCAGGCTGCTGCAAGGCGGGGGAGGGCTCGGGACAGACTCCGAGCCCAGCGGTGGCCACCTGGCCACCTCCCCTTGTGGGAACACACCCTAAGCCTCCTTTACAAGGAACCATAGTGAGAAAAGGGAACTGATCAGAGGTGAATGTGAGGAAGTATTAGCATTCTGCGATATTTTTAAATGAGAGGACAAAAAACCCACCACACCTTTTTAAAAGAAAACAGTAGCACGCTAAAGATGCCAATTAATTACTCTGAAAATATGAATGAAATACAGCTGAAGCTTGCTGCGTTGTACATTTCAGCACGAAACACGTCACACTGGTCAATAAAGCCACATCCCTGCACTCCTGATGCTGCTCCATTTACTGCTGCATCGAGCCTCCAGGCTCCAGACGTCCAGGAAGGAGCAGAGCACACACCCACGCAGAGGCTTGAGGACCATGGTGCTGCTTAAGAACAAGAATCTCAGACGTGAGGGTGCATTCAAAGAGGCACTCAAGCTGCTCTCTAGATATGCTCTGTGCAAGAACAGGTACACCGCCCAGCAAGACGTCCACATGTCTCCTGGGCAAGAGGCTCAGACCGGGCTTCCTGAAAGTTGTTTAATCCAGCTTACTGGAATATTTGAGTAACCGTCAAAACATAACTCCAAGGGCTTTACACTGGTCCCGCTGACACGTCTGACATTTCAAATCACGGAACTATAAAATTCTAAAAGTCATTCTGCAATGGTGTCAACCAGTCAGGAAATGTGCTTTCCCATACATGTCATTTTTTATTTGATCAGAGATGAAATGAAAGTGCATTAAAACATCTGTTTCCTGGGATACATTAAAGACCACAGAGTCTAGCAGAGATCAAGGGGAAAGACAGAATCACTCAAGCAGAAGAAAACATTTTGTTTTGGGGGGATATCAAGAATACAGTGAATCTGGCAATGTCTATACAAGTCCACAGGGCTATTTTTAGAAAACTGAAGTATTATGTAATCTCAGGATCTCAGTGTGAAGGGGCCTTGGAGGTCAGCTGGGTCGAGTCCCTTATTTACACAGTGGGTGTCTGTGACCCAAAATGTGAAGAAAACAAGCTGTAGATGTTTTAAATACATGTCTGGGAAAAAGTGACAGTGATATGGTTTGGCTGTGTCCCCACCCAAACCTCATCCTAAATTCCCACATGTTGAGGGAGGGACTTGGTGTGAGGTAATTGAATCATGGGGCAGGTCTTTCCTGTGCTGCTCTCATAATAGCGAGTAAGTCTTATAAGATCTGATGGTATTATAAGGGGAAGTTTCCCTGCCCAAGCTCCTCTCAATGCCTGCCACCATCTACGTAAGATGTGACTTGCTCTCCCCTGCCTTCTGCCATTATTGTGAGGCTTCCATAGGCACAGGGAACTGGAAGTCCAATTCAACCTCTTTCTTTTGTAAATTACCCAGTTTCGGGTATGTTTTTATCAGCAACGTGAAAACGGACTAATACAGAGAGTTTCTATTTGACTTTCTCTAAAGCACGTGCGTTTCCTTAGAGGATTTTTGTTTTTTGGGTTTTTTTTTGTAAACAAACAAAAAAGATGTGTTTTTTTGTTTGAGGTCCCCTTTATGGAATCTTTGAATGGGTAACCATTTTCAATAGTCATAAAATTAATATCTGAAATAACTGTAAACTTATTTCTACACTGTAAATCTACACAGTGTTCTAACCCTAAAGTTCTTATTTGTGCTTCTCAACAAAGTAATTAAAGGGAATGGATTTCCCTTCTGCAGAGTTTAAAATCAGTGTGTTTGGCCAGGCATGATGGTTCACACCTGTATTCCTGGCACTTTGGGAAGCTGAGTGCACAGATACTTGAGCCCAGGAGTTCAAGACCAGCCTGGGAAACATGACGAAACTCCATTTCTACCAAGAAACAAAACAAAACAAACAAACAAACAAAAACAAGATGAAAAATTAGCCAGGTGTGATGGCACACAACTGTAATCCCAGCCACTTGGAAGGCCGAGGTGGGAGCATCACTTGAGCCTGGGAGGTGGAGGTTGCAGTGAGTTGAGCTTGTGCCACTGCACTCCATTCTGGAGTGACAGAGAGAGACCTTGTCTCAAAAATAAATAAATAAAGTATGTTTTTAAACTCCAGAAATAAGCACTTTGGAGGCTCAGGTCCGTTTGTGAGATTGGTAGTCTCAAAATTTTTGAGATTATACACTGATAAATGTAGAGGATAACCCATTTATTTATTTTAGCCATGTCAAGGGGAAAGAACAAAAGGAAAAGAAACCCTGGACAAGGAATGCCTGCAGCATGTTTCTCCGCCCGGGACCTGCGGACATTCTACGTCAGCAGGAAGGCTCTTTGGGGTGCTGCCGTCCAGGCACTGTGGGATGTCCCACAGCATCCTGCAATGCCCGCAGCACCCCCTCCCCACTCTGAAGTGTGACAACCAAAAGGTCTCCAGACACGACCACCACGTGTCCTGGGGAATGAAACCCCCCAGATGGGCACCACTGCACTGCATCTAGGAATGGGTGCATTTTAAAGCCAGAATCAGAGGGCGATTCTTTGGTAAACAGCCTTAGTCATAGCCATGCGATCACAGCCTCAGATGTGGAGTGTGAAACCGTAAGCATGGCCAGCCCCTGGAAGGGTGGTGACTCAGTCTTAGAGAAAATGTACACTAACGATGACAAGGTACCAAACATGGTACCAAAGAGTTTAATCCTACCAACGGCTCTTAAGGAGGGTGGCATTTTCCCCCCACTTTTCCAGTGGGGAAAGGCAGTCTTACTAGGAAGTGGGGTGTGGGGTGTGAAACCCCAACCCAAGTGCAGCAAACCCTTCCGTGCTTTCTGTCTCCTTGCCCAGCCCATCATCGTTCCCGGGTCTCATTGGGGGCCACTCCGATTTATGGGCGGTCGCTTCCATAACGTGTCATTGAGTCGAGCTCTGAATGGCTTTTCTCATTTTGGATTTTTTGACCAACAATGACAATCTAGTCCATCTTTTTGTTTTATTATTCACTCCATGATTATGGGAAGTCTAGATGTTCAAGCAGTGGTGACATGGAGAGCAACCTTGTGGAATGGCCTTTGGGTTGACCAGGAGGACTGCTGCATATTCACAGCCTTCAAACCACATCCCTGGCGTGTTCCATAAACCATGCGCCCTGACTGCTTCAGCCACCCAGCGTCACTACAGACTGTTCAACGGTGATAGCAAAAGTCCAGTTAGAAATTTTTATTCAGAATAACAGAGAAACCTAATGCTGGTAAAGTTCAACTTTGATCCTTGACTTACCAAGGCATTCATACAACATCCTGGTTAAATAAAATCGCCCCAAACAGGCAGCTTCCAGCTCCAGAGAGCCTCATGGCCATAAAGAGATGAGAGCATCTGGCCGGCTCAGCTCCGTAATAGCATTTAGAGGGGCCTCGTGGCTGATGAATGAGCATTAACATTACAGATGAATATCGAGAAATATTATGAATGGGTGATTCATCCGTCACATGGCAACAAAAATAATTGCAGGGTCACATTTCTGGATCAGACAATCAGACGCATGTTTGAAGTTAAAAATAACAAAATATGCTTTGCCTATTAGAAACTGTAAGACCAACATTCGCCTGGGATCTTTGTCTTCTGTCGTGTCCATTAGTATTCTAGAAATTATAGAGGGGTGGAGATGGTGGCACCAAAAATATTTTCGACCTCATAATAGAAATTAGTCAATGAATATGATGTAAAGGTCACAATTACTAAATCCTATCATTGCTCAGTGTTTAACAAATACGTGCTGGGTACACCTGGGTGGGGCACAGGGCCTGGCATTGAGAAGATGGAAGTGAACAAGTGAATATCGTCTCTGTTCTCATGAAACTTACAGTTTTGTGAGAAAGGCAATAAAGAGGTAAGTCAGTACTTTGTTTTGTTTTGTTTGAGACAGAGGCTTGCTCTGTCACCCAGGCTGGAGCTCAGTGGCACAATCTTGGCTCACTGCAACCTCTGCTTCCTGGGTTCAAATGGTTCTCCTGCCTCAGCCTCCCGAGCAGCTGGGATTATAGGCACCCACCACCATGCCCGGCTAATTTTTTGTATTTTTAGTAGAGAAGGGGTTGCACCGTGTTAGCCAGGATGGTCTCGAACTCCTGACCTCATGATCCGCCCACCTCGGCCTCCCAGAGTGCTGGGATTACAGGCGTGAGCCACTGCGCCTGGCCAGTAAGTTTTTTAAAAATAAAATTATGGTGAGTGCTATGAAGAAAGCACAGCCATGAGAAAGAACGCTAGGCAGGGCAGGCATTAGAATACAGCCAGGAGCAGATTGTGGTGGGGCCGAGAGCTGAGCTGAGAACTGAAGGAGTCGTAAGACCTGGCATGGGAGGAGGGAAGAGGGAGCATGTGAAGAAGGAACATCACACAAAGGATTCAGAAGCAGGAGAGAGTTTGGAGAAGTTGAAGGTAGGGGAGGGTCCTGAACACCGTGTGTAAGGGGCATGGCTCCTGTGGAAGAGGGAGAGGAAGCCAGGCGGCCCAGGGCCTCAGAGGCCACAGGCAGGACAGTGGGTTTTCTTTTGCTTGTCATGGGAAGCCACTGTAGAGTCAAAAGTGGGTGAGTAAAAGGGCCTGATGAGCTCTGAAGAACATCTCAGCGACAGCTGCTGGGCCGCAAGGACGAGGCATCAGGAAAGCAGTGGGTGGGGTGGCAGGAAGCCTCTGGGCAGGTGACGATGACACAGGAGTATACAGGTGCAGGGGGTGGAGAGAGGAGACGCGGCTGGAGATGACACGTCACCTGGAGACTTGGTGGGGTGTGCTGATGAGAAGGTCACAGAGAGGAGCAAATGCAAACCAGGGAGACAGAAGCTGCGGGATTCTTTGCTGAACAGCCAGGTGGGTGGTGACGTCTGAGTAGAAATGGGGGCACTGAGGGACAGAGGGACAGTTTAGAGTTTGGCGAGTTCTGTTTTGAATAAACATGAGTTGTACGTGAGACTTTGAATTAGAGAAGCTTACTAGGAAGTTAGACATACAGGGCTGGATCTCAGGAGAGAGTTAAGAGGTGAACGTATAAACTGGGGAGTGTAGGGATTGAAGCCATGAGAATGACAGGCTCCCCTGTGGATGGTCCAAGCAGAACCATGCAGAGTTCTAACATAGAGAAATTGCTCAGAGCGAGAGGGGTTGGGGAAGAGTGGGGGTAGGAGTCAGGAGGGGAACCCCAAGGGTGCAGTCCCACAGAAACCAAGCCCTGCAAAGAATGCTCCTTATACATTCAACAGGCATTTTTTTTGTGCACCTGCTGTGTCAGGCAGTTTTTTGATTGACAGTGATTAAAGGGTCAGCAAGATAGACAAGGTCCTTCCTCTTGGAGCTTACGTTCCGGAGAGAGTGTATGTTTCAGAAACGTGTGATTAAATAACTGTGCTGAGCAATCCTGAGGGGAGGAAACGAGGACATGCGTGTTATTGGGCTTTGCAAGGTGAGGGGTTCTTGGTGATGTTGACAAAATCAGCCACAGGGGTGTGGTCTGATGGAAGCCAGGTGTGAGTGGCTTGGCTTGTGTCCAGCTAGTCCCGGTGAGGAGGACGTGCAGGCAGCTCATGTGGACAAAGTTTTGGAGAATTTGGCTTTGTGAAGGGGAGAGACAGGTACCAGGTCTGAAGTTGCGTATGTCTTTTTTTTTTTTTTTTTTGAGACAGAGTCTCACTCTGTCACTCAGGCTGGAGTGCAGTGGTGATGTGATCTCAGCTCACTGCAACTCCACCTCCCAGATTCAAGTGATTTTCATGCCTCAGCCTTCTGAGTAGCTGGGATTACAGGTGCCCACCAGTACACTCAGCTAATTTTTGTATTTTTAGTAGAGATGGGGTTTTGTCATGTTGGCCAGGCTGGTCTCGAATTCCTACTCTCAAGTGATCCATCCACCTCAGCCTCCCAAAGTGCTGGGGTTACAGGTGTGAGCTACCGTGCCTGACCCCATATCTCCTTATGTAAAGACGGAAGACCCAGAGCATGTTAAGCGCTGATGGAAATGATCCCATGGGAAGGAAAAATTAATGCAAGGCAGATTTGGGCAAATTGACACAGTCTTTTTTGGGAAGGCAGGGGTGGGGTGAAAACAGAGCATAGATAAAGAGCTAGAGCTCTGATGGAGAATCAGAAAGGAAGGCGACAATGAGGTCAATGCAGGGAGTTTTAGAAACGTGCAGCTGGGAAGATGTGTGTGTTCTCGCCTGACGCCTTCTAATTTGTTGGTGAAGTAGGAGATCACCAGGCATAGCAGGAGACAGAAAAGAGGGCATGAGAGATTCCACAAAGAGGAGAAGACGTCGGACAGGCATCAGGAAAAGTGGGAAAAAAATTAAAGAGATACAGCAGGTCAGTGCTGTCTGCCTCTTGAGAGTTTGTGATCGTGAACTTAGAGTCTGACCAGGTGCTCTCATTGCACCATTTTCTCCAACCACACTGACCCCTGGAGCATATGTCAACAATGACATAAGCCACCCAAGGGTGAAGTTTACAGGTAAGTCAGACTGAGGAAGAGAGAGACAGGAAAGTCAAGGGGTTCAATGGCATGGGTTTGTCGTAAAAGTAGACCCGGGAAGAAAAATGAAGAAAGGATAAAGCCTTTGTCAGAGCCTAGAAGCAAAGGTCTGCCTGTCTCTGCAGCAGCTGAGCAGATAGCTGTAGCATGTGGCTTTCAGAGCAGGTGACACCCGAATCACGAATTCCCTGTGGCCTCAGGGTCCCCAGGCAGTGATGGTCCAGATGTCCCTGCTGACTTGTTTTGGCTGGATGCCCCTCCCACCTTTGGCCATTTTGGATTCATCCTATCTTTGACTCCTCGGCTGGGTGGTTGGCTTCCATTAGGTACAGTGGGAGGGAACTGCCCCAGAGTGAACTGCAAACCTGTACGCTGTCTGAATTACCTGGGGAAAGGGACGTGTTGTGTATCATCTTAAAAAAAACATTTAACTGAGGTAAGGCACCTGTCTCCCAGAGAAAACACACATGAAGATGCATAAAATGTGGTGTGTGATGAAGGAGGGCGTGAGGGCAGAGATTCTTACCTGTCTGGGGAGAGGAGGTCTAGAGAGCTGGTCTTTGGACGCCCCGGTGGCACAGCGCCAAAAAGAATGTGGGCAGGAAAGAAAGGACAGTTTAAGCCAACTTCTTCCTCCTGCAATTTTTATTTCTCTACCTCCCAGCCAAAGCACCATTGTCACAGCCATTTTAAATGTGCAACCGGAATGGAAATCTTCCTATTGCGTTTCAGCATAGCAGGAGCTAAGGCCTGAGACTGGCGCGGCGTTTCTGGAAAGTTGGTGTTGCTTTTTAAAATAAGCTTCTTTATCCTCTTGTATGTTCATTTGCAAGTAATTAAATACACACACAACAGTAACTCAAGGATTAGGAATGTCACTGACAAGGAAAGTAATAAACAGGAGGAAATTAAAAGAACCCACTAAGCCCCAGGAAAAAAAAAATCTAACAGATTTAATCAGGAGAAATAAAATATTCTCTGGGCCCCGTTATAAAGACCCCTGGTGCCAAGGAAACGTGGCAGAAACAGGACAATTAAAACAGAGCCTCACGAAGAAACGGGGAGGTGGCTGCGCAGGGCAAGCCACCCTGGAAGAATTCAAATGAAGGAGCGAACCTAAACAAGAGGCCCGCCAAATGGGAAGAGAGGCCGAGAAGCGTGGCGGGGTCTGTCTGTGGTGATGGCAGGAAGCCCGCAAGCCTCCCAGGCAGATCCTGGGAGATCCGGGCGTCTTGCTTGAGCTAAGCATGTGTTACACTCTCCTGCAGCCTTGCATGTCTGCTACAGACTCAGGATTCTGAAGACGTGACAAGCCACTGACAAGGATCACTCTCCCCACAGACACCCCTCCCCACCTAGCCTTACTGAGCAGACAGAACTGATGGTTCACATAACACAGAAAAGGGATTAGACAATTTGACCTGCGCTATTAGAATACTTCTTAGGCTCCGTGATAGCTGGATTCTTGGCAAATTGCTTATGGCAACAAGCATTTAGCAATGTTGTGACTGTCTGGATCTGGCGAGTAACCTTACCCTGGAGCTATTTATTAGAGCAGGCTGGAGACGGCGTAGTAGCTCATGACCTGCTCTTCACAGGGATGGGGAGGATGCTGGGGGCTCCTCCCGTTCTCCTTAAATGCACCGACCAGACGGTGGCCACATCAATTGAGGGCCTACTATGTGCCAGTTCCTTGCATACATTTTTATTCGTTTTTAAACAAGTATTAACACAGTGTCTGCTATGTGTTGAGTTCTAGGGTTAGCCAAAAATGAGATGGGCAGAGCTCCCTTCAGGGAGCTTGAGGTTTAGTCTACCAGGCAGTGCAGGCCAGGTTTCATGGCTATGCTTGTTTTGCCAACAAAGTCCTGCTACGCCAACCTTCCACTGCTCACCCTTGGGTTCATACAAGGCAACATTGCCCAATAGATCCACCTGCCACAGCCACAGGTGCAACGGCAGCTGAAAAATTACCTGTAACTTAAATAGCCACGTGTGGTCGGTGGATGCTCTATTGAACAGTACAGAGGAAGACTATTGACCCAAGATATTCCAACCTTAAAGACAAGCGTGCTCTTTAGGTGGGGGGCCATGGCAGCTGCTCTCCATGATATGTAAGGAGTTGCTTGGGGCACGCCTCTCTGCAGCAGCAGTTTCTGCTGCTTCTGCGATGTCCTAAGGGCTCCTTAGGGACTGGATGGCAGGGGTGCTCCCGGGTGGGGCAAAATGCCTTGGGAATTTCTGGTCTGTCAAAACTGCATTGAGCTGTCTACCAGCGAGGCCCTCCTGCACAAAGCTCCACATTGCTGCTTCATTAAGGGAAAAGGAAACCAGGCTTTATTTTGAAATAAAAGTATACTTTTCTTTAAAAGAGAAAACTCTTGGTATGTATGTAATATATGATAAATTGCACCACACTTGCAAAATGCATGCTACATAAAACAAAATAAAAACAAAAAAACACAAATAAATAAAAAAGCAAAGTGTAACAGTTCGTGTTACACTTTGCTCTTTATTCCTGTGTTATAATACATTATGGACATGTTTTGGTTTCCAAATATAAATACCTGCCTCTCCTCCTCCCCTGGACATCAGCCCTTCAGCGTAAATGGGGAGTCCTCCCCTCCCCCCTGCTACATCCCTATTCCCCATTCACAGTGAGCCACCGTCCAGGACCTGGAGTCCGAAAAGGCTCTCCAAGTCCATGCGTGCCTAGACTGAATGCCCTCAGCTCCCCCTGCCTGTCCTGGGACATTGCTTCCAGCCTGTGCATCCTCTGAGTGATATTCACCTGTTATCCACTTCCTTCTGGGATGTGCAGGATCACACTGCACCTTCAAGGTGGGGGGACAAGCATAGGGACATGGGACAATTCTGTGCCTGGACACCCTGTGGGAAGGCAGAGTATTGTTTG